GGACACATTGGCATGCCAAGACATTGGAGAGGTGAGAAGGGCCAGGCAGCGCAGCTTGCATACCATACACAGAAGTGAGCAGGGAGACTGGCCCTTAACAGAGTTCAGTAGTATGCCGGGGGATGGTGTGCAAAACACGACCGTAAATGTGTATAGAGGGCCAGGAGACTTCGGCCCCACAGTGCCTGTCACACCACCTCCTTCCTGTTTTTACACAGTGCCTGTGTATGTAAGCACCGGGGAATGAGTCCCTCTCTTAGCAGATGTCACATATGCAGCCATAACATCAGCTGTCTCCATGCATCAGGGCCTCAGCCTTATTCATCTTGTAACGGGTCTGCACAGGGCCCAGCATCTCCTCTTGTTCCCAGCGTGGTCCCAGGACCACCCTGAACTCTCCTCATCTATGGGTTTGTCTTGGATTCCACGTGCGTAAGATCACACAGTGTTCCTCTTGGGTATCTGGTTTACTCCAGTTAGCACAGTGCTCCCCAGGCCTTTCCATGTCTCCATAAATGATAGGATTTCCTTCTTTTAAAGAGCTCAGTAATATCCCGCTATAGCTATGGACCATATTTTCTTTCATCTGCTGTCAGATGCTGAGATTGGTTCACAGTCTTGTGAACAGGGCTGTGGAGGAGTAGGGGTGTAGATATCTTTTCTGCACAATGAGTTCCCCTCCTTCAGATCTGCATTGATTGGCGGAGCCAGTGTAGTTCTGTCCTCAGGCTCTGGGAGGACCGTCCATATGGCTCCTGCACAGCCCCACGACAGCACAGCAGGGCTCCCTTTTCCTAACTTTCTGGCTAGCCAGCCCTTGCCCTGTTTCTGCTGAGTGCTCTCCAGACGTGAGGCCATATTTCACTGTGCTCTGGGTCCCTGCTTTCTGGTGATTCACAACACTGAACACTTCCCTCAAACACCTGCTGACCATTTGTACGTCTTCTTTTGACAAGTATCTATTCAGGTTCTTGGCCCATTTTTCAAACTATTTATTTATTTTTTATTTTTGAGATGTGACCTGGCTGTGTAGCCCAGGCTGAACTTAACTCACTATGTAGCCCTGGCTATCCTTGAACTTGCTTCAAGCCTCCAAGCTTCCCAAATGCTTGGATTTACAGACATATCCCACCGTGCCCACCTCCCCATTTTTTAAAACCAGTTTTTCCCAGTAATGTTTTATAGCTTAAGATGGGTAGATGCTCGAGTGTTTGTTTTGAATGCTTACAAGTACCTACTGTTAGGAGGTTTTATAGCGAAACAGTAAGTTTTCTATCCATAGACACTCATCCTCACCTATAAATTCAGCCCTCACAGCCTTTCTCTCTGCCCACCTTCAGTCCCTTTACCAGGCTCTCCTCTGTGTTCAGAGATCAAATGCCCAATAGTAAGTTCATCCAGTACAAAGAAACTGAATGATGAAATAGGGACTTAGCAAGACCTTGTCTCAAAAAGGAAAAGCAAAGCAAAGAAAAAAGAAAAGAGGATATTGCTCTTTGTGACAGTTCTAGGTTCAAACCTTACTACCAAAAACAAAGAGATAGAAAACTAGCCACTAGCTAGACTGAAACAAAATGTCCAGAAAACAAACCAACTTGCCATATCTGGCATAAGACTGTGTTTCACTTTGCAATTTTTTTGCAGGCTCCTGTTCTTGTGCATGCATCTGGAGCTTATGTTTTGTCCCTCAGTTTCCTGTATGTGACAGACTATGGTTGCTTCGAGCAGGCTCTGCACCTCCTTGAGGTGCTCCTCTCTCTCATTGATGCCCCTTCCATGCCTGATACTCCTCATAGCTGGGCTAGCGCAGTGTGGCCTCTGGGCTCCAGCCTTGGTTATGGGATCGTTTCTCATTTCCTGGGAGGGATCATGGGGTGAAGTTCTCAGTCTGGGTGTAGCTTTTCTTACCAAACAATGCTTTCTGTGCGGATTCTGTGCACTGTTGGAACAAGTGGGTTCTGTTCCAGCATCACTAGATTCTTGTTAGCCTTTTCACATTTTTTTTTTTAAAATTTAGTACAGGGTCTATAGGCTCTCACTAAGGAGATCAGACTCCTAGGGATTCTCCTGTTTTCAGCCTCCGAAGCATTGGGATTACAGGTGCGCACCACCACACCCAGTCTCAACCACTGTCTCAGCGTGCCCTGCGGGCAGGGCTGGCACAGCACACTGGGGATCAAACCCTGGCTGCTGTGTTCCACCTAAGCAGGCACTTTAGTCCGCTGAGCTATCAGGCTGGTCCAGCCTTTTCAATTTTGCTGGATTAAATGGCACTAGGAGGCCTTTTGACTTCTTTGCCCAGGTCCTGGCAAAGATGACCCCCCTTGTTTTATCATTCAAGGTGGAGTTTATGCTTAGGTTTGTTAGCTCTCTGTCACTGTGAGAAATACTGAGATAAATCCACTTTAAGAGAAGAGAGACTTGTTTGGGATTGGATCCCTTGGCTCTTGTTTCTAGGCTTTTGATGGGTTGAGCACCAAGGTGGGGGCCTGGGAAACAGATAGAGAGCAGGGTCAGGACTCAGACCTCCCAGCAGCACTGCAGGAAGAGGCGGCTTTGGGGGACCTTGAGACCCAGTCTGGAACATCAGAGTTGGTCCACCTGACATTTTCCTCTGTGAACATGAGTGGTAATGAGTTGCTGAACATCACCCAGCCCAACTAGGGATGTGGCCATGCTGGAGGAAGAACAGGGCCTGACTCAGTGGGGTTCATATAAGCATTGGGGTTTTCCACTAGCAAGGATGTTGGGAAGTCTAAATTCTCTTTTGTTTTTGTTTTGGGAACTAAGGATCAAACCTAAGGGCACTCTACCACTGAACTGCGAGCCTCATTTATTTACTTGTTTATTTATTCAGAGAAAAGCTCTTGCTAAATTGCCCAGGCTAGGCATAGCTGGAATTTTCCATCCTCCTGCCTCAGCCTCCAGAGTAGCTGGAGTTACACAGGTGTGCGGCACCGTGCTCGGCTCTGAACCTGAATCTTCAGTGGTTAGATGTTGCCCGGGTGGTGCAGCTCTTCAGGAGAGTGACACATTCTTGGAGGAGATCTGCTTCTGTGGTTGATAAGGAGAACAGACGAGCCTACGTTTCCTCCTTACTGGCCCAGGGTTTACACCAACAGCAGGTGCAGCCCTCACATTGCTCTTACCATATGGCTGCTGTGTGTCTGCTGTTGCTCCCAGCTCCAGTGCCAAGTCACTCTTGAGAGACGATGGAGTAGGGGCGTTGCTGCAGGTGGGAGGACCCTAAAGAAGTCCCTCAGCACCCTGGCAGCCCACACTTAGAAAGTGTCTTCTTCCAGGGCCTGGTTGCTTTCAAATAATAGGACACATTAAAATATCTGGCCAGCCATACCATGGAAACAGGAAATCTGTGGTGTTCTAATTTTAAGCCTATTAGAACTTTAAGTTGAGAAGAAGCACTGCTGTTTCCCTCCCCAGAGCTCCCCATAAACATCTCAGTCACAGGTTTGAACTCGCCCTATCAGCTGATCTACCGGTCTTCTACAAACTGCCTGAGCTTCTCCCTATCCACAGGGAAGGAAACCAAGAAGAAAGCAGGTGACTGGGCCCCCAGTAGCTCTTCCAGCTCACAGCAGAAGGTGGAATGGGGGCTGGGAGGGACAGAGGCTGTCAAGGTGTCCAAATCAGAGCTCTGGTTAGAAGGCTGTGCAGCTGCCCTGGGGGGACAGCCAGCTGGGGTCACCAGAGCCCTGTCCTTCTGCACACTGCTCATCTGAAGGTGTCCCATTTCCCATCCCCTCTCTGGCCACAACCCACCCCACACACAGCATGCTATGCTCCGAGAGCACCCTGTGCTGTAGCCAAGCAGCAGATGCTGGCGTTTGTCCAGAGCTGTTTGAACACCCAGTAAATCCAGTTGCTTGCAGAGAAAGATACATACACAGGGGACTCCCTGGCCTGCTGATGGGAGGGAGAAAGAGAGGAGGGAGGGGTAGGTGGTAGGTGAGTGTAGATAGAGGGCAGCTCCGGCCTCACTGGGCTCTGGTGGCCCAGTGAGCCCTGCTGGTACCCATGGCACAGACATGGGTACCAGGAGTGTGATTTTACTCTGCCACCCATGGTCATGTGACTACCCACCGCAGCCATATGCCCTCCCTGGAAAGATATTTGGTCCTGGATGGGCAGAGATATCCCCAGATCTGAGCCACTCTTGCTGTTGTCTCTGCTACTCCCTGTGGTCCCCTTACTCTGCCCCATCAACTCTGTTGTCCCCTTCATCACCAAAGAGTGGCCACCCAAGGACACTCACCTCTGGAGCACAGATGACCTCCCTAGGGATCTGCCAAGCCCTTTCCTACCCCTAGGTGACCCAGATAGGAAACTCGTTTTCTTGAAACTCCCCTAACCTCTCGCCTCCAACTGCAGGTAGATCAAAGATGCTGGAAGACGCATACAGCACATCCCCCTACCTGCGCACAGTGGGCACCTCTCCTGACAACACCATGGAGTTCAGCGATCCCTGCCCCAAGGCCCACGAGAAACTGCAGGAGATGTGTCACCACATGTGAGCATGGGTGGCGGGGTGGGACAGGCGCTCCTGGGGAGCTCTGTGTGCCCAAAGGACAGCTCAGAAGAACTGGACCATGCCAAGCCCATGAGCCTGGCACTTCACAGCCCCAGGCCCTTCCAGTCTGTAGAGGAAGCACAGGACAGCCTGGGCAGTGAGGAGCTGCACCCTCGCCTGGCTGCTCTTGGCCCCACAGCAGCTGCCTGGCTTAGGCACCTTGGTGTGGCACCCACGCTGGGCCTAGCATTTGTTTCTTAATATGATCAGCCATCTGTTCTACTAGAAGAAAACATGCACCTCTCAGAACAAATAAAGAGCATTGCCATGGGTGACTCACAACATTGATGATTTGTGGATACACAGGCTTCCCCAGGGACTCACTGTTTCTCTTAAGGCGCAGACCACAGAGAATGTACAAACTAATTTGCATCTCATGCCTAAGTCTCATGGCCACTGGGGCACAGAGTAGAGTATGGGCAAGGACAGCCTTCCTGTCTGTGGTGGTTTGGGGACATGCCAGAAAGACTTAGCCCCAGAACCTCAGACTCTTGTGGCCCATAGTCCTTATCAGGCCAGTGTTCAGCTAGAGGCACTGCAGCCTTCCCAGTCCCTCCTCAGTGCTGCTGGGGAAGACAAGAGAGGTAGGTGAGGATGGGAGGATGGGGACAGGTATAAGGGGCATGCTGGTTTCCTTCCTTGCAGAGAGGCTGAGAAGGCCCTGTGGAAAAGGCGAAACATCTTCTATCCCACGTTCTTTTGCAACTACAAGGCAAAGACGCCCTCTCAGCCAGTGTCGGCTGCCAGAGGGGACTTGCAGGGCTCAGGTGCCCATGCTGTTGCCCACGCCATGGCACTGACATCTGCATTCTGCTCTCACCAGCCTTCTGTCCAGCGGAGCCAGCATGCACAGGACTGGAAGGCAGCAAAGAAGGCCTCCAAGCTGCACTATGCCTTCCACTACGGCTCTTCCTCTGTGTAATATCCTTTCTCAGTGCCACCTTCATGCCCAGGAACTCCTGGCTCCTTGGCTGTTAGAGAGGTCTTCAGGGACCTCAGTGAGGGGTTGTGCATCCTGGGCACAAGAGCGGCAGATGAAGCCCTAAATTCAATTCAGGTCAGAAGGAGTACACCAATCCCAGCCCAGGTGAGGGCCTATTGGAGTCACTGCCCTGCCTTGAGGGATGTAAAGGACCAGAGGCTAGGGACTTCTTTCCATGGCCAGGAGGTAGCAGCTTCTGTGACTCTGTCCTTGGGGTTCCTGCCTGGTTGGTCTGTAGGACCCAAGCTATAGGTGTGCAAGGGCAGAAGGGACACAGCTTCTCTCTGAGAAAAGATAGCTCTGCCTGGTGGGGCACCCTGAGGCTACTGTCCTCTCCAGTCCAGTCTGAGGCTGCCCACACCCTAAGGGCACCTGTGGTTCTGGAGCAAGGCATGTGGATGCTGCGAGCCGACAAGGGGGCTCTGACAGAGCCAGAGTCCCCTCTAGGCTGTAATGTCAACTACATGACTCTTCCAGGTCATCATTTCTAGGCTTCTCTGTGGAAATAAGGACCCAGAACCACTGGGGTGATGCAAATTCCTGCGTGTTACATAGGAATTTGATGGCAGTGCCTCCAGTGAGAGCATGAAGCAGAGAAAAGGCAGGTGCAGCCTCATGGAGTTCAAGAGTCACCTGTCGTGGGAGGAGAAGTACCAAGGAGGACTGTCCCAGCCACTTCCATGCAGGTCAGGCCCCAAGGTACGTCTGGGCCCCCTTACACTGAACAGGGAACTCAGAATCTAAGTGCACTGTCAAAGAGGCCTCACTGTTTCTCTGTAAATGAATCTATCCATACTCTCACCCTCCAAGGCCAGAGCAGACCTTCTGGGTGCTGCACTGGTGAGGAGGATCCCCCTTCCCACTTCTTCATTGTCTTTCATGGGGTTGCCTCTCTGACCTCCCCACCAGGCTTTGAGTACTGACTTAGAGGGAGCTGGCTGGACCCTTTGCTCTCTCCCTATGCCGACTTCCAAGGCCGCTGGGGCAGGACGACCCTAAATCTTAGACCACTGCTTCCCCAACAACCATCACATCCAGAATGGATGCTTTTCCTCCTTGGAGGTCAAGAGAAGGTGGACCTCAAATTTCCATTTTTGGTGACAGCACACAGCTCACTGGGACCCAGCAGCCATCAAATTCTGTGTCACTCTGCAGAAATGGCCAACTGTGGGGTCTGCTGTGTGATCACTCTGAGCATGCAAAATAACTTTGGAAAACACTTCATCTGGTGGCACCTATGGAGTGCATCTGTTCACACAGAGTGGACTGGGCAAGCACACAGGTGGAAATGATCCACTGTCCTTGGGGTGCACTGGCCACCCTTAGACCTCGTGACCACCTACGATCGTCAGTGAGGTGTCACACTGTTGTTCTGACTCATGCTCACCTACTGATTAGTGATGCCAAGTATATTTTGTGGGCTTTCCTTTGATGATCTTTACAGAAATGGGTGCTCAAGACCTGGGTTCATGCTTAGTGGAGTGTTCTGTCTGTTTTTAATGATCATAAGTATTCTGCAGGTATTGTGGATACTACACCTTTGTCTGATATGCGATCCAAAATATTTTCCCATTCTGGGCATTATCTTTTCACTCTCTTAGCAGCAGTATTTGGAATAGTTCTTTTAAAATAATTAACTTATTGTTGGTGTTGGGTATCAAGCCCTAAGTCTCACACATGAAGAAGTATAAATGTTTCAACTGCCCTGTGCTTCAGGCTCCAGAAGTTTGATTTTGGATGAAATCCAAACTTCATTTTTGTTCTTGTTGTTGCTTATGCTATTGGTATCAAATTCAAGGAACCATTGCCAAATCCAAGGCCGCAAAGATTTATTTACTCCTGTATTTTCTTCTAATGGTTTATGGTTATAGGTTTCACTTTAGGACCTCAGGTACATTTTGAGTTAGTTTTTCCATGTGATGTGAGATATGGTTGAGTTTCATTCTTTGGATGCCAAGGGCCAGTTGGTCCAGTTTTTTCCCATTGAATGGGTTCCTTAGTCCAAATAAGTAGACTGCAAATAAGTCATATCTCACATTCAGTTGTAATCTGCCAATCTAGCTTGGGTCTGTCCTCAGGCTGTACCCCACTGTCTTTATTATTGAAGGTTTATATAAGTTTTCATATCAACAAGTGTGAGCCTTCCCAGTGTGCTGTTCCTTTTCAAGACTACTTTGGTTATTTGGTATCTCTTGCAATTCCATATGAATTTTGAGGTCAGGTTTTCCATTTGTGCAGACAGGGCCAGTGATCGTGCTAGGAATCCCACTGATTCCACGGATCACTTTGGCCACTAACAGGATTACATTATCTGAGCCTGAACACAACCAGCCCATGCTGGGAAACACTGTGTGAACAATGGGGCTGGGAGGGATGGCAGGAAAGGATGCCAGGAGCAATAGTGTCAAGAAGAATAAATTACTTAGGAATAGAGCCCAACGGGGCACAAGACTTGCACTCTGAAAACTATGGACTATTACTGAAGAAAGCCAGGCCTGCATAGGAGTAGGCTACCCAGGTCCATGCAGGGCAGCTGACTTTTGTATGTTGGCCTTGTGTCCTGTAACTATGCTAATTTGTCAGCTGTAGGCTTTTTGGGTACATTCTTTTGGATTTTCTATATATTAGACCCTGTTGTCTGCAAGAAATATTTTTACTGTTTTCCCTAATTGGAGGCTTTTCATTTTTTGGTTGCTGTTGTGCCTAGTCAGAGGCTGTGGCCAGCATACCTAGTACAATGAGCAACATGACAAAAAGCAAGCCTCCTTACTTGTTCTTAATCTGAGAGAACTTTTTCAGTCTCTAACCACTGAGTATGCCGTTGAATATGTTTTAGACCTGTGTGCTTGCCCAGTCCACTCTGTGTGAACAGATGCACTCTATAGGTGGCCTTTATTATCCTGAAACAGTCTCCTCCTGTACTGAATTTGTTGAGTTTTTCTTTTTTAGCACAAAAGAGTATTGGACCTTGTCAGATGCTTATTATTTATTTTTTAATGTATTTTAGTACAGGGTCTACAGGGTCTCACTGCATAGATTGGACTCATAGTGATTCTACTGTTTTCAGCCTCCCAAGTGCTGGGATTACAGGTGCACGCCACCATGCCCAGAGGCCATCTCAGTGTTCCCTGGGGGTGGAGTCAGAGCTCAGGCTACACTCTGCCTAAGCAGGCCCTTTAGTCTGCTGAGCTATCTGGCTGGCCCTCGATGCTTATTACTGATCAATTCAGATGAATATGTGTTCCCCTTTATTCCATTGCTATGGTACATTGTGTTGAGTGGTTTTATAGGTGAACAACCTGCATCCCTGGGCAAACCCTGCTGGGTCTTCACACACAATTCTTTAACATGCTGTTGAAGATGTGGGGTGTGTGTGTATGTGTGTGTGTGTGTATGTGTGTGTGTGTATGTGTGTGTGAGTACACGTGTGCGAGCAAGGGACACTGGCCTGAAATTCTCTCATGTCTATGCTGGGCTTGGGGTCAGGGTAGCACTGGCCTTGTAGACCAGGGGAGGAAGTGTTCAGGTCTTCTCTAAGTTTGGATGTTGGTGAGGAGGATTAGGGTTAAATCCCTTTTATATGCTTGGTACAGCTCACCAGTGAAGGCAGCTGGTCCCAGGCTCATCTTTGTTAGATTTTTGTTTGTTTTTCTTCTCTCTTTACTTGCTCTATATCTGCTCTAATCTTTTGAATCATATTTGGTAGTTTTGTGTTTCTCGGAATTTGTTTCCTCAAAGTCATCTAACTTTTTGGTATAGAATTATACATTTTTTTCTTTATAATCTTCTGTATTTCTGTGAGGTTAGTAGTACTGTTCCACCATTGTTTCTGATCTTAGGAATCTGAGTCCTATTTTACATATTCAGTCTTGTGGGTTTTATTGATCCTGCCAAAGAACCAACTTTCAGCTTCATTAGTTCTGTATTTCTGCATTATTTTGCCTTTCTCCATTCTAGTTCTCCCTATTTCCCTCCTCCCAGCTTTTCTATAACAGAAGATCCTTCCATCTCCTAGTTGATATACTTCAGTTTGTTAGCTGCTCAGGTATTAGTTCTGGTTACAGTTCCTGTCACTTTTATTTCTTAGAAATGGCTGGCTACTGTGATGCACAGTGGTCACTTTGATGCATATCGTAAGAACCAATCCCCAATTGACAAGCTATTCTGCCTCTGTCCTTCCTGCTTGCTTATCCCTTGTAAGCCCTAGACCACCAGAGATCAGGGTTCTGATATTCTGGGAAT